GCAAGCTTCCGCACATACAGGCGCTTGCGCACTGAGGTGGCCTCGGTCTCTGACTTCGTCCACGATGTGGTTGACCAGCTAGTGCCGTACTGTCAGGGGGGTGGTTGTGAAATGCTGTCAGGGGTGTGGTTGTGAAGTATTGCTCAGGGGGGTGGTTGTGAAGTGCTGTCGGGGTGGTTGTGAAGTACTGTCAAGAGGATGGTTGTGAAGTATTGTCAGGGGGTTGGTTGTGAAGTGCTGTCAGAGGGTGATTATGAACAAACTCTCACCAGACCAGTAGCTCAGCCATACCCCAATAAAAAGCAAAAATGAGGACAGGCAGGTGCAGACAATCTGTTAAGTAAGACTCGGAGGAGTGGTCAACAATACAGAGTCAATTGAGTTGCAGATGAGGAGGTGCTCGTGTGTGTGCACGACTCTATGCACTGCAAAGCGTTCACAACTGGTCGGCCCAGCCGCAGACTACTGGATTATTGTGGTTCAAATTCAAATACGGTTAATCAACTACATTCAATTGCAATTGTTCAACTACATTTATTCAACTAAAGTTATCCAATTGCAATTATTCAAATACTGCTGTTCAAATACGGTTATTCAGTTACAATGATTTAACTTAAGTTATTCAAATACGAATACAAAATACAGTTATTCAAATACAGTTATTTAATTACATCAATCACTACAGTTATGTATTCATTGACCGTTATTCAATTACAGTTATTCATTGACAGTTATTCAATCACAGTTATTCATTGACAGTTATTCAATTACAGTTATTCATTGACAGTTATTCAATTACAGTTATTCATTGACAGTTATTCAATTACAGTTATTCATCGACAGTTATTCAATTTCAGTTATTCATTGACAGTTATTCAATTACAGTTATTCATCGACAGTTATGTATGCAAATGCAAATATTCAATTACACTTTTATTCAATTGCAGTTATCCAACTACAGTCATTCCATTATAGTTATTTAAATACAGTTATTCAATTACACTCATCCAAATACGATTATTTATATACATTCAAATGCAATTATTCAATTAAAGTTATTCAACTACAGTTATCCAATTACAGTCACTCAAATACAGTCATTCAACTAAGGTTAATTGCAGTCATTCAACTAAAAGTATTCAACTACAGTTGAAAGCAAGGAAGAGAGCCACGACTGAACATTCCGATCACACCAAACAATTGATGGGAAAGTAGACCCCTCAGACAACAAGAGAAGTGCAAAACCACCTGTCACGAACAAACTCTCAGCCCAAATGAACCACTCGAAAACAGAACAACTGCAAATGAATGCACTCGCCAGTGACAGCAGGTACACGACCAGTGCACACGCGCACACGGGCAACGCAATTCATTACCAAATGAATCCATCGTGAGGTGAATACAGGAGGCCGTACACAGGCAGACCCTGTTAAGGTACGCCTATGCCACATTAAACAATTCATAAAACACGACCGCAGAAGCGTAGAAGGTCTCGTGGATTTGTACAGCTCAACAACAAAACTGGTATATGTGCTTGGGTTGTTTAAAACCAACATGTACCTGCCAGCCCAGGTCATCACCACTTTCGCCCGCGTGAGGCATTCGCCAAGGGGTCCCCCAGAAAAACCCGGTTGGCAACTCCAACTCTGTGCATAAACGGAAGCGATGACCGGTGAGATGCACATATTGGAAGACCATAACACAGCCCTCAATGCACGGCTATTGAATCTCACAATCCCTCCTGCGTTGACTATGTCTCCTTGTGCATGTTAGCTTACGACTGTACCGCCGGCGTAATCGGCTTATGTGCACTTAATTACTTGTATGGAGCGCCGAATGAAACAAATAGAACAAGCCACAAATAGAAAGATTCGGCAATGGCATGGCGTATCCAAAGCAAGAATTCGCGGTTCCAAAAAAACGAACACCAATATTATATTACCCTAAGGTTCCCATGTAAGTAGAAGAGACTCTGAAGTAAATCAGTGCCACTTCAAAACGTGAATGTATATGAACAATATACAATACAATAGTAGGGTACCTACAAATACCAGAGACACTTGCATTTGCCGCTTCAGATATTCTATACAAAAAGAACTGACATGTGCCACTAAGAATATAAGTGTAAGTGGGTAAATATATATATATATATATATATATATATATACAAACAAGTAGATATATTTATATATATATATATATATATATATATATATATATATATATATATATATATATATACAAAATATAACCATGTAGATATATATATATATATATGTGTGTGTGTGTGTGTGTGTGTGTATGTGTGTGTGTGGGTTGTGTCTGTGTGTGTGTGTGTGGGTATGTGCGCATGTATGCATGTGTGTGTGTGTGTGTGTGTGTGTGTGTGTGTATGTATGTATGTATATATGTATGTATACATATATATATATATATATATATACATATATGTATAAATGTGTGTGTGTGTGTATGTGTGTGTGTGTGTGTGTGTATGTGT